TGTAGTACCGGTTAGAATTCTTCCTGTTGAGAGTTGACAAAGGGGAACTTTACACCGTTATCTTAGTGGAAAGATCCCAGGACTCCTGTATTACGAGTGTTAACTTATCTTGATACAAGCATTGAAGGTTGCCCTTCAGTAGCATTTTGGATAATTTAGTGTTGTTATGCAACTACTGTGTTTAGTCAAGTCAATGATGTTGTGAATCTGCAAAAGCTTGAAATATTGACTTCACTAATTACATTAATAAAGACCTCACTTAAAAGAACACTGTATAATTCTGATGTGTTGAATGATACGCTTATTTACCTGGAGAAGGCAACGTGTTATGGGCTGCTGGAAAAATGTAAATAAAGTCACTGTTCAAATGTTCACATCTATTAACAAAGCATTTTTAATGCTATTTTCAGTGTTACATATTATAACTTTTACTCAAGAGTAAACAGTTTCTGATACATGTAGGTCTTTCATTGATTTTTTTTTTTTTACATTTATTATCAGGCAAACAAGAAGCAAACAACAACATAGGACAACTAAGATCAGTGGAGGAGTCAGATACAGCTAGATCAGGTCAGTTTACGTTTCTGGTATCTGCAATGGTGTTTGCAAGTGTACCTACATGTACACTTATTAGTTGTTATTATACATCAACCTCACTATCTCTTTTCATACTGTATCAGCCAAAAGCATACGGTGAATTTTCAAAATCGGCGCCTGTGACATCATCTAGCTGCAGATTATACAATAATTATGTCAAGGACACTCAACATCATGGGTAATCATGTCATGTATGACCGTGGTGCACAATTTCTGTGGGTAATCATGCCAAGTTCACATGCTTTGTGATGCTTGCCATCAGTGAAGAAGCAAAAACATGACTTCCATATTTTTTTTTTTTTCATTCAATGTATAATAAAACAGTATAAGATTCATTTTTGTGATATCCAGAATAATCAAGGTCTCGGTAAGGGTTTAATCAGCCTCAGCCTTCAGTTTTGGCTGATAACCCCTACCTCGACCTTGATTATTCTGGATATCATAAAAACATCATCCAATAATTGTTTATAATTCCATCAGTTAGATTTATAATGCTATAGTGTATACCAACAGTAAGAAATTGCAAGTAACTCAACAACATGTTTGTATCTCTTATCAAGGAAAACAAGAAACACAGAAACACCAAAAGATCCGTGGAGGAAGTGAAATACATCAGACATGTCAGGTCAGTCAAAGTT